ACCCGTGGCAACAGAGCGGGCGCACTGCTGGCAGCACAGCTCAAGGCGCGCTCTGCTAACTCGAGAATTGCCTACATTAACACCTCCTCGAACCGAAAACTTGCAAACCCACAAGATATAGTGGATGCATTTGCCTCCTACTATAGCAAACTCTATAACCTAAAGGAAGATCCTGAAGTAATCCCACCACCTCCATCTCTAATCCAAGACTTCATAGCACAGGCAAACCTCCCTACACTAACTCCCGAAGACATTACCTCACTCACCGCACCGTTCACCACGCAGGAAATAGAGAAAACAGTAGCACAACTGCCCAAACACAAGGCTCCTGGCCCAGATGGTTACACGAACTTCTACTACCAAACGTTCACACACATACTATCCCCGCACCTGGCCGCATTATTCAATCAATCCTTCCAAAGGGGATCACTGCCCTCTGAGATGCTGAGAGCACACATCTCTACCCTCCCAAAACCGGGCAAATCCCCAACGCAATGCCACAACTTTCGACCGATCTCATTGCTAAATGGAGACGTGAAGCTTTACGCTAAGCTCTTAGCGAACAGACTATCTGACGTTCTCCCAAAATTGACTCATAATGACCAATCCGGGTTTGTTAAAACAAGACAAGGCTCCGACAACACCCGAAAGATTTTGAACATTCTCGCACATATTCAGACTAGTCGCGAAGAAGGCCTTCTCTTAGCGCTAGACGCAGAAAAGGCCTTCGACAGGCTCAATTGGGACTATATGCAACATGTACTCCAAGCATTCGGCTTTACACCGCTGATAATATCTGGAATCATGGCTTTATATAACAGCCCGACCGCACAGGTGGCAAATGCGGGCTTTTTGTCCAAACCATTTAATATCACCAATGGCACCAGACAAGGGTGCCCCCTATCACCATTATTGTTTGTTCTATCCCTAGAGCCGTTAGCGCACATCATCAGACACCACCCAGACATCAAAGGCATAGCAATAGGCCCGAACGAATACAAACTCTCTATGTTCGCAGACGACGTTCTTGTCACACTGAGCAAGGTTACCACGTCGCTCCCAACCCTGATGCACCTCTTAAAAACTTATGGCAAGGTGGCATATTACAAACTAAATCAAACTAAGACACAGGCCATGCCCATTGGACTTTCACATACCCTGGTCCGGGAACTCACACGAAACTATAAGTTTGATTGGAGGGAAGACCACATTACATACCTAGGAGTCAAAATAGCACCCACAGTAGAACGTATGTACCATTATAACTATAAACCACTAATCCACCTATGTAAAACGGAATGCCTTCGATGGAAGCCGGTAAAGCTGTCATGGTTAGGCAGAATCAATACTATTAAAATGGTCCTCCTGCCAAAGCTACTGTATATATTCCGCCTCCTCCACATACATGCTCCACCCACTCTTTTTAAACAGCTCCAACAAATCTTGTCATCATTCATATGGGACTCACGTAAACCCAGGTTATCCCACCGCTTATTACAACAACGCACAATAGAGGGCGGTGTAGGCCTCCCAGATGTATATACATACTATAAGGCAGCTCACTTAGAAGCCGCAGTGAAAATGCATACCCCCAAGGCGGCATATCAGTGGGTAGACATGGAGGTGGCGAAATCCGCCATGACACCATTGGTGGATACCCTATGGACTCCCAAGACGCTTCGCCCCAAAGGTGGAACCCTATTCCCAACCACATCACTCACCCTACATCACTGGGATGCACTAAGACACAGGCAAAATTCCACCTATAAATTCCACCCTCGAGCACCACTGACGGCCCTACGAGCAATCTCACCATGGCTCTCCCTGCAATCCTGGGTTAAGTTAGGTATTAAACACCTAGATCAAGTCATGCAACATAACCTCATCAAACCTTTCCCAGACCTACAACATGAATTTAAACTAACCAACTCATCAATATTCCCATACATGCAGCTCAAGAGTGTCATACCCACCCATGTGGCACAAATCGCTACGAGTGCTAGCCGAGACACCAAAGTAGTAGATACACTATATGACAGATGCTGGCAAACTCCAACCAAACCAAAAACCCTTGCTCTATGCTACCAAGTAATCCTAAAAACAGCACCACACTATGTCCCACCCTTCGCGAACCAATGGCTCACTGAATGTGATGAGCTCATAACGGAGGCAGAAGTGCTAGCGTCTCCCAACGCCCTCAAGGGCCTTACACAAAGCTACTCACACATAGAGGCCCACAGGAAATTGGTATACAGGTGGTACTTAACACCACACAGGCTCCATACCATGTACAACTCTGTATCCCCGCTTTGCTGGAGATGTGGGGAAAAACAGGGCACAATGTTCCACATCTGGTGGGCGTGCCAACGCATACGCCCCCTATGGGAGGACGCACAGTCCACCCTATGGAACATGGGCATCACAGCACCACCACTGGATGTACATACAGGGTTATTTCTTTCCTATCCGCACTCGACCCCAAAATCGGTAAAATGCATATTGGCAATCACTGCATTAGCAGTACGAAACCTCATAGCAACACACTGGAAAAAGCGGGAATGCTCTTCCAAAACCCAATTGTTGACTACGCTCCACCGCTACCACATGTATGAAGGCTTGACAGCCAAAACGGCCCCACAAAAAAAGTCCTTCCAGATGTCCTGGGCACCATGGGCTGATTTTTGGGAAAGGGTGAATGCAACTAACGTGACATAGCACCAAGCGTGACTAAACCAAAAGACTGCCAAAAGCACTGATATGGTACATACCATCAATGCCACACATACAAAGTCCCACACCCGGTATGAACACAACCCCCCTCAAAGGTACTTGAGGTTTCCACGCATAGAATGATACACCCACCTAGGGGTCAGCCCTACCGAGGTGTATATCCCGCCTCCATACCACACTTGAGCATGGATACTTACTCTGACCTAAGACCACACTGAAGTAACTATCACCTCCCCAACACCCCATCCCACTCCCCCCCCCTTTCCCCCCCTTTTTTTCTTTTCTTTCTTAATTTCCCCCCCCCACTGTTCATCCCCAGTTGAAAAGCCCAAACCCAAGCTGTAATGTCCTCTGCCAGGAATGAGAAGTTCAGCATAGGCCTGCCTGCGTCTAGCAAAGCTCAGCACACTCGGAACACAAAATGTTAGATATGGGGAAAGTGTCAATGAGGCCTTAATGCAATACTGATGTTCAGCTGGGACTTAATGCAATTGTTCTTCTTCTTCCTCCTAGAGGCATGATATAATTGGTGAAAATTGTTGTATAACCTAACACCCTCCCTTTCTTCTTTCTGTACCCCATTGACCTTATGAAAATAAAAAATTACCAATTTAAAAAAAAAACAAAAAAAAAAAACTGATATCAGCACAATAATGGAGATAGGCAGAAAAGATATAAAACGAATAGGAAAGAAACCAAAGAATGCAAGGTTTGAAATAGTTTATCAGAATAAAAGGGAAATTAGAAGTATCTGAAAAAAACAAAAATTAAAAAAAGGAAATATGAAGAAAATAAATAAGAATAAAGAGAATTGAATATAATAGTAATAGCAACTTATTAACTGCACATGGGCAGAAAGAGAAATCCATGCTCATGAGACTATAAAGGAGAGTAACTGTGTTTATATTGTATGTTAAAACAGCTGACATGGATAAGGTTCGGTAATTGAGAAGCATGGAGCCATTATCAACAGAGGTAGTAGAAATTTAGAAATCAGCATTTAAGACTTTTTAAATTTTATTAAAGACACGGAGGCTCCTATTATGCATATCTCTTTCTTTATTATTCTCAGCAGCAAAGAACAGAGATGAATAAATAACTGAAATGAACAAAAAAACACAGTGCTCAAGCAACCAATCACATAACACAGGAAGTGACTATAACATGCTTTTGCACCCACAATCCCCCTCTTTCTTTGCTGCTCTCAGACCAGTTAAGTAAATACTTTCCATGCTCTGTGTTTAGTAGTAATTTATGACATTTGTGATTACTTTTATTTCAATTGCTTGCTCCTTTTATAGCTTCTCTGGCTTATTAGGAGCCTTGCTACTGCATTTGTATTTGTTCCCTGTGGTGTGCTCCTTTGGGTCCCCCTTTTCACTGCACACGGCGTTACCGCCGTCTATCCTACCCCTCCTCCTCCCCGTGGGTCGTGGGTGGTCGGGTCGAGTTCCCTCACCCGTTCCTGAACGGGTACACGCCGGTGAGCCTCCGCTTAGCTCGGCGGCAGCTCCCCAGTGGTGTTCCATGGTCGTCTCACCTCCCTGCATGTGCGGCGGCCATTTTACCTCCTCCCAGCCTAGTTCTCGGCTGGGACGGCGTCAGACCCCTTACTGGTTTTCCCTTCCCTGGACACACCACTCCATAGGTATATGTAGATATATATATTATGCTATTTGGATTGATTCATGCTTATGCTCTGTATACATGTTATGAATAGTTATATGTGTATTTTTCACTACTTTTTTCTACCATCTACTGCACTGTTCCTTGTGGGTTTTTAGACCCTATTTTCCTTTTCTGCTGTATACTTGTCTTTCAATTTTATTTTATTCCAGATAGATTGTCTTACTGCCCGTATTTTTTCTTCAGTAACTGCAACCATGCAGGATAAGGGTGATGGGCCTGAGGGCCATGTTGATGAGTTTTCTCAGGGAGCCCCTGAGGGGCAAATTGTATCTGAAGAGTTCCAAGCCCTGCTGGATTCCACCATGGCGTCTTCTTTACAGAGAGAACTTGCCTCCGCTATCGGGGCAATGTCCTCCTCATTTTCACAAACTCTGGTGCAATCCCTCTTATTGCCCCAGGTGGCTACCCCTACCCTACAGGGAGCGGGTCCTTCCCCTACCCCCACCTCACCTGAAGCCCGTAAGGTCAAGCACCTCTCCTCACACTCCATGACGCAGGTTATACCTGCCTTGACGGACTCGCCTCAGGTGGTCACAGATGGCGCGCTACCACCGTACAAAAGAGCCCCTGGTCGGGAAAAAATGACCAGATTATGGAAACGGGCTAGATCCCGTGAAGAAAGGTCGGAGAGCGACCGGAGTGAGGAGAATGAATCCGAGGAGAGGGACTATGCCTCTTACGATGAGGCTGGCTCGGAGGAGGGAGCTCGCCCTGCTGTAACGTCCTGTACTGGGGGCGCTATTTCTGCCCAGGGTGTTGCTCCCCAGGGAGAGAGCGATGACGCGTCACTTCTGCATCCGCAGGGCAACCCCCTGTTTGATCCAGATGACCTTCGTCATCCTCGCTCAGCTGAGTGGGAACCCCAGGGCATATTGCCCATTATATTGCGCACAGGATGCACACGCCACTTTCCAAGGAGGGTCGCAGTAAACTGCGGGCTGAATGCCCTAGACCCTCAGTGCCAGGATCGGCGTGCAAGACACCCGAAGTCCAAGTCGATCCGCAAATCGCACAATTTCTCAATAAATCGGGCTGGAAACCGAAAAAAGGCCTAGATTTTTCTCTGAGGAGCTGTCAGGACAAAATAATGGACACTCTTTGTCCACTGTCAAAGGCCTACGAAATGCTAGATGCTGCCAAATCGGGCGAGTCAGACCTTGACCTAGATGTGGCAATTGGCTGGGTGCAACATGCCATTTGTGTGCAACGTGCCATTTGTCTGCTCGGCAATGCCAATATGTCTGTGTCCGCCGAACGCAGGAAAGCTATCCTGCTCAAAATTGATCCGAAACTGGCTACCATGGCCATAGCTGAACCAGGTCCCTCGGCCGAGGGAATGTTGTTTGGCGACAATTTTGTCAAAGACTCAGGGTCATATGTGAAGACTTTCACCGCCATTGACAAAGCTCAAGCCAATATGAAGAGGGTGTTTTCCCCTAGAGTTTTTGGAGGGGTCGGGTGCAACAGGATTCAGGGGTTCGGTTCGAGCGCAGAGAGGCTCCTTCTTCCCCTCAAGAACTTCACAGGAGCCCAGAACTGCTCCTTTCTTCCCATCCAGATGGAGGCCCTCGAACCCCCGCTATCCGAGATGTGCAACTTCGGGCAGACGCCCTTATGTTGAGTACCTCTTTTTTCCCTTACGTTCAAGAGCGGGTGGCATGCAGGTTAGCACAGTTTTACGAGGCGTGCGATGCACTGACGACAGATGCTTGGATTATCCAAAGGGTAAAGGGTTACCATATAGACTTTGTATCCATGCCTGTCCAGCTTTCTATCCCCAGGGAACTGTCTCTTGCTCAAGACCAGGAAGAACTGATCTCCTTGGAGATCCTGGCATTTTTCACCAAAGGTGCGATCCAAGAGGTCCTGTTCACTCACTCAGGGTTTACGAGCAACCTCTTTTTGGTCCCAAAGAAAGGAGGAGGTGTGAGTCCAGTCATCAACCTTTGCCCCCTCAACGCTTTTCTTCAGTATCGACATTTCCAGATGGAAGGCATCCATTGTCTTCAGGACCTCCTACAAGGAGTCTGACTGGCTGGCCAAACTGGACCTGAAAGATGCCTGTTTTACGGTTCCCATAACCAAGGAACACAGAGATTTTCTCCAGTTCACTTGGAGGGGAAGACGGTGGAAATCTACATGTCTGCCGTTCGCGCTCTCCTCGGCCCCTTGGTGTTTCACCAAGGTCATGAAGCCGGTGGTGTCCTTACTCCGAAGCCGTGGGGTACGTCTGCTTTTCTATCTAGACGACATCCTGCTGATGGCTCAATCAAGAAATCAATTGCACCTGCATGTCACATGGACAACGTCTTTACTCCAGAACCTGGGTTTCCTAATCAATTGGGAAAAGTCGGTGTAGAATTCCTGGGGTTTACAGTAGATTCCATCAGACAGTTCCTGTTTCTTCCAGAGTCCAAAATGAAGGCCATCAAGAAAGAAATCAGGTGAATGTTGCGCGCAGACGATCTCTCTCCGCCATCTGGTGAGAGCGATCGGTCTTCTGGCCGCCTCGATCCAGGCTACATTTCCTGGTCCACTCCATTATCGGGCCCTACAGCAACTGAAGGGCTCTCACCTGCGTGCAGGCGAATCTTACAAAATGAGAGTGAGACTGGACGAAGAGTCCAGAGACGAGCTGACCTGGTGGCTGGCGCACCTGGATGCCTGGAACGGAAGAGCCATAGTCAGATCCATCCCAGACGTAGTGATAGAATCAGGGTGGGGTGCGTGTTGTGGCACCGCGTCTACCGGGGGCAGATGGTCGGACCAAGAGCAGACACTCCATATCAACTGCCTGGAACTATTGGCAGGAGCATTCGCAATTCGCAGCCTGACACCCGAATGTGCAAATTGTTGCGTGATGTCCAGAATGGACAACGTGTCAGCGGGGCGTTACGTCAACCACCTAGGAGGCACGAAATCGCGCATGTTAGCTCTCATGGCGAAAGACTTCTGGCAGTTCTGCCTTCACAACAACATCTCTGTACAAGGAGAACATATAGCGGGCCTAGACAATTTGACGGCCGATTGGAATTCAAGCTACTTAAGAGACTTTGGTGACTGGCACTTACACGCTGCAGCATTCAAGGGATTGGATCGGGTATGGGGCCCATTCGAGATGGACCTCTTCGCATCCCGTCTCAACACACAGGTGCCCAAGTTCTTCAGTTGGAGGCCAGACCCGGCAGCAGTGCCGAATGCCCGATTACACACTTTTCCACTGTTCAATCTGATAGCTCGCACGCTATTGAAGCTGACTCGACACGGCTGCTCGATGGTGTTGATCGCACCCCTGTGGCGGTCACGGCCATGGTTTCCTTGGTTACTGGAACTGACAGCGGATTACCCACGATTGATACCAACCTTCCCGAATCTCCTGAGGGATCTGGATGGCAACTCGCATGAGTTAGTGGATCGTGGCCTTCTGCATTTTATGGCGTGGCCCTTTCAGGGGACCCTGGACCATCGCGGGAGTTCCGCAGTCAACTCTCGACCTCCTCTACAATGCATGGGCACCAGGTACTAGAGTGGCTTACCGATCTGCCTGGCGAATCTGGTCTAGTTGGTGCATGGGACGGACAGTGGATCCCATATCTGCCCTTCTGCATATGATCATGGAATTCCTTACTGGGATGTTTGAATCTGGGAAAGCTTACTGCACCATTAATCTATGTCGATCGGCTATCTCTGCTGGACATCAAGGTTTGGATGGATCGCCTGTGGGACGTCATCCTTTCGTATGCCGACTGCTCAAAGGGATGCGTCTCACTAGACCACCCTGTGCTAGGTTCACTGCCTTTTGGGACGTAAATGTAGTCTTACAGTTTTTATCATCTTGGTACCCAAATCAAGATCTGACATTGAAACAACTGTCAGCTAAGGTGGTCATGCTGTTATGTCTGATCTCTTGTATGAGGGTTTCAGATGTTCGAGCTCTTGACTGGAATGCCATTACGTTCACACTGGAAGGCATCTCCTTTAACATTTCCAGAAGGACTAAATCGGCTTCAAAAGTGTTCGTCTACCCTATATTCCAGACTAATCCTTCACTCTGTCCAGTAGAGTGCCTGGAAACCTACCTGGAGGCTACTCGTTCGTTGCGCTCTCCGGAGTTGTGCCCATTATTTATTTCGTTTTGCGTCCCACACCTTCCAGTATCTACCCCTACACTTGCAAAGTGGGTACGAGAGGTACTGACATTGGCTGTGATCGACACGTCCGTATTTACCCCCCATTCAGTCCGTGGAGCTATGGCCTCCAAAGCATCGTCAATGGGCTGCCGCCTGGAAGATATTCTACGTGCGGCAGACTGGTCACGGGAATCGACTTTTCGAGACTTTTACTTCAGGATCATTTCGCATCTCAGGTGGTTTCTAAGCTTTAAACTTTCATAATAGGAGCCTGCGTGTCTTTAATAAAATTCCCAGATTTTACTATTAACATGACGTAAAGTCATGATTTTATTAAAGACACGGAGGCAAGTATTATTCCCACCCATCCACCCGGTTGGGGTTGGAGTTAAGTCAATATGATTGCTAGATCTGGTAAGTTCTCTTTTTGAAGTTTTTAGTATATTTCATTATGCTGACATTATATGTTTTGATGAACTATGTTTATGCTATCATTTTGAGTATTTAAATGTTTAAGAGGTTAGGAGATGGGCTTGACTTAAATGGACTAATTGATTGTCATTATACACAGACAGTTTGGAACTCAGATATTACCATATATTTTCTATGTCTCCTTCTAGCCTGAACTCTCGTGTTTTCCATAATGAAGAGGCTGTTGGCTACGTTAGCTGAAATTGGAGTTTTCTACATGCTGGTCTTCGTTATCCACAAGAAAGAGGGGGATTGTGGGTGCATCAAGCATGTTATAGTCACTTCCTGTGTTATGTGATTGGTTGCTTGAGCACTGTGTTTTTTTGTTCATTTCAGTTATTTATTCATCTCTGTTATTTGCTGCTGAGAGTAATAAAGAAAGATATATGCATAATACTCGCCTCCGTGTCTTTAATAAAATGATGACTTTACATCATGTTAATAGTAAAATCTGGGAATTTCATCACATAGTAGATGGCATTACCACAGAGAGACAGAAGAAATCTGAATTATGTGATATGTGTTAATTTTCCTATAGGTTTTGGAGTTTGCACTAAATGTATCAAGTACAGGAACAATATGTCAAAGATGGATTTTGTATGTAGAATTTGGAAGTGTGTTGAGGAAAGATAACACACAATATTACTATACATATCCTTTACAACTTCAGTAGTTGATTTAGAGTAGGGTTGAGCAGAAGGTCAGTGTCGTGAAATATACCTAGCAGATATAAGGTGAAAATTTAAAAATGTTGTAGTATATAATAAATGAATACAATAATACATTTTAAATACATTCAGAACCAATTTTCCATGTAATTTTTAGATAGTTTGCATGGCATTCATATATATCTGGATTTTTTTTAACACTGAATGCATCTAAATTAAATATGTAAATTCAGAACTAATTTCTTTCTTTCTTTCTTTCTTTCATATTTACATTTAAATTATGTCATTATTATGTATCATGCTGACAGTGTATAACATCTGATTTTTCTTGTTTTTACCATACAATTTGTGTGTATAAAAATAGAGAATTACTTCAAGGATGTGCAGGTTGGTAAGAGCTAGAAATGTACCAAGGCCACTCTTGTTGTTGTCCATTATCACCATGGTTTCAAGGAAATATGACTCATATTATAAAAACAACAATTAAAGTAATAAAAAAAATGCATTTTTCACAAACCATGAAGCTTCCCCAGAATTGAGATTAGATATAAATCATTCTTAAAGGGACTGTAACTGCTTTATCTCATCATAGTGATTATAGTGTCTGGAGTCCCTGGTGCTGTCCTTCCATTCGGCATTAAACCTTTTGTAAAGTAAAATGCTAAACAAGAGCACTCAGCAGTCCATACCTCTTTGTTATTGAGGCTAAAGGGGAAACATTACTTGAGCAAAAACAGAGTGACTGTGATTGGCTAAGTATGTCAGCTGATCAAAGCACTGATTGCT